CACCTGCAGGACTTGATGCTCAATGAGGATTTCTTTGTGACTTCCTTCACGTTTCCAGTTCAATGCGACTTGTATGTGATCTGCTGTGTGAACTTCATACGACCCAAAAGTGTCCCGCATGCGCAGAAGAGGACACGACGACGTCACACGCAGCGAGCGTGCTCAGTGTTTATGGAAGTAAACATGGATGGTAACGGTGGAGCGTATCTGCCACTCCCCCGCCGCCACCGATGGTGGAAACAGAAGTGTGAGCGCTAACTAAACTAGCATCAGCAGCCAAGTACTGCCTGTGTGTTCTGGACACTTCCATCCATGTGCACAAGCGCACCGGTCAATTAGGCTGAAATCCAGTGATGCGTAGTGTTCTAACAATACACTAGTTATTATAACAACTATAAACAATAAATGTCAACAACTAATGAGCCTTCAATCATCAAGCCCTCCTTGTATCTGGACCTCCGTCTTGACAATCCGACAGCCTTGCTATCCGACATAAAAGAAGTTTTTACATTTAGCGTCGGATTATCGAGTCACGACTGTATTTCTGTGTATTTCATGTCAGGCAGGTGGTGTGCAGTGGCCTAAATTGAGTTTTTCCAATGAAGCTAAAGGAAATGAGTTTGATGTGAGCAGTAAGGCAATAAAGCTATAAAACCCAAACAAAGAGCTGAAAGGCACTAAAATGGTGTGCAGTATTATCGTCTGGAAGTTCATCACCACAAGCTACAGTCTTCATCCCACAGTCATTTGATCTAATGTTGATATGAAGATGCTGATTAGTCCGTCTTTAGCACCAAATAGCTCACCTTTTTTTTTTTCCCAGAATCCCTCATTTGTCTGCAGTTCTTTCTGGAACACAACTTGCCTCCTTTGCAGCAGGCCAAACAAATCCACAGATGGTGCGAGAAGGAGCTGTGATAAACAGCCATTCACACGGTTAAGATATCGAAGAAAAGCTCGGGCTCACCTGCGCACATTTTGCCAAGGCTGTTTAAAAAGCAGAAGCTCAAGGTGAAACACCATTTCCCTGGAAACTGGTGTGAAAAGCTATGATTGGAACACATTGTTTGTTTTTAAAAGACACCGAATGGGTGAGTTGGCGAAAGTCGTGGCAGACGGTTAATAACGTTCTTTGTGTCGGAGGACAGTTCAGGTTTCTTTGAATTCTCTCTCCATCTCTGAGATTTGGCTTATTTCACCTTTTTTTCCCCCCTTTCACCTTTTAATTCGTTATGAAGCTGGTAGTTGAATCATTTTGGTACATTTCAAATGGTACAGCTCACGGCCAACCTGCCAACCTGCCAACCTGCCAACCTGCGTACATACTTGGCCTGTACTTAAACTCACGGGCAACAAAAAAGAACTTCTACACTTTATTGACATTTTATAAGAAGTTTTACCTCTCATTAAAAAGGCATGGAATTCCTTTATGTACGATTCAGATCTTTTTATCTCAAAAAGCAGCACGAGGGTGAAGAAACAAGGCAAACAGAGAGGCAACAGTTTCGACGAACAAAGAGCCGCCTGGAGACCAGTTCTCGTCTGCCTTTCAAAGGGTTAGGCCTCTTAGTAGTCTCTTATTGAAACTAAGCTGTGATGAGCAGGATCCACTGTTAGAGCAAATCCTCTGTACAACCAACACACTGAGAGCTCAAGGATTACCAGACGTTGTCTTAATTGATCTCATTATCTTCTTCCTGCTCTTCTTCAAGGCCCTCCACTCTCAAGTGTATCTTGTGATATCTCTTGAATGACTGCAAATTGGCATAAAGTATTATTGTCAAAGTTTTGAGCTGTTTTTTGTTTTTTTTTACCCCCAACTTGAGATTAGTTCTGAGGAACGGCTGTAAAAGACTCAAACGACTGCCGTGTGATCCTACTTCAATGTAAACCGTTCATTTAAGAGGCTCTATTACACACATCAAAGCGTATTTACAGGTCTGGAGAAGTTGCTGTGTGCACGAATATGAAGTCGGTTGTGGTTCCAGAGGGGGGCTCCACAGACCCTGATGAGGTGATAAGTGTTGTCACTTGGGGCGCCGTTGGTTGGGGATGAAGACTATGAATTTAAAATCCAGGAGTGTGGAGATAGAAGGAAGTGAGTTTACCACACCTCTGTTGCCGGGGGCTACATCTCTGGATGCAGGAGAATAGTCCAAAAAATGATGCCACACGTTCATCCCTAAACAATTTTCCTTGACCTCGATGGAAAGCCCCATGAGGTCAAGGAAAGAGGTGAAGGAGAATTCATGCGGTTTCAAGAACAGACAGCCGCAGTGCTAAGAGACTGCACTTACAAGGCTTTATAGGCCCAGATGTTGCTGATGTGGGTCTGGCATGGACGGTGCATCTCTTTGACCACTGCAGCTACGAGAAATTGCAGCGTAACAACATCTCCTCTCATTTTGTAAAGTGCAGACCATTGTGTCCTAAAGCTACAGCAGATAAGAGAGGAAGCCTTGAAGCAACCTTTCCGTAGCATTTATAAACCGGCTCTTATCTTGGCTCCCATTTTCATACGTCTTCATTTCACTTAGCGAGGAACCTTCCGAAGCATAAAAGACTATTCGACCGCAACCTCTGATGGAACTATCGCCGTTCGAAGTGCTTTGTGGGCGCAGCAGGCATGGAAGAAAAATCCAAGGAATAAATAAAGGTGGTCTCCTCCGGTTCAGGGGTGCAATGTTGAATTGGTGGAGCACCTTTTAAATGTGTTCTTACTGGCGAATAATTCGCACAGCAATTTGTTGATCGTTCATCGCGAGAATAAGTGTGTTCTGTCAGACAAAATAAGTGTTTTGAACTAGCTTTGCTATACTTGTGGTATTTTTCCTATTTTTCTGCTTCAATTAATGGGAAAAAAAATTACCCATATATAGAACTAATCATAACTTGCTGAACTATCCCTTTAAATGAACATAGCCATTATGTGATTATAGCTGCTCAGAACATCTCATCATCATGTCGGGCTTCTTGAACAAAGGGACACTTGATATGAGATGGTAGCTATAGTCTGAAACTGGAGATGAGCATTTGAGACAATCGAGAAAACCCATCGGCAGAACAGCGTATGTTATGTTCTCCTTATTTCTGATCCTAATGAAAGTCCAGCGTTCTAAATATCAAGGAATGTGGTAATGAAACAGATTGCCCTTCAAAACTCATGAGAACATCTCGCTCAGAATTAAAGATTCACATTTATTTGAGCCCAACGGAGCAAAAACTCATTACTATAGGATAAACATGGAACGGTGGAGACATCCATACGCTCGTGTCGCTGCCTCAAACAACTGGACGCCGTCAACCACAACGCCCCCGATTCATTAGCGCACATAGTTAACACGCTGACCACTGTGAGGTGTAACAAAAGGTCGGCGGGACATCAGGCTTACTTTATTTTCAGTCTATACAGCCCTGCGATGTAAACTGTACTGGATACTGAACATCCTTCATTTGAGCTCATCATCAAACGAACGACGAACTGGGAACGAATGGCTCTCTCTACTGGGATGGACTGCAGCACAGTTTGAGTTTAGTCATTCTTTCCATTAATACTTAGCAACGTGTGTTTAAGTCCGACTGTCGTCTATGCAGGTTTACACTTTTGCACTTAGCTCTGTGTAAGTTCTCGGTTTTCCAGCTTCACTAAAAGGCATCTAGAATCCTCTTTTTTTTTTTTGGTCCTCGAAGACATTTCACCTCACACACAAAAGGCGTCTTCAGTTCTTAAGGCCTGAAAAAGCTTCTTCAAGAACAACAAGAGGAGTCCAGTTGCCTTTCACTGAAACGCCAAGGATGCACTCAGGTCGCTCTCGCAAGCGAGACCTTGATCTCAATGAGACTTCTTGAGGAGCACTTGGACAACACTGCAAAAGCCAGTGCTTCATCTTGCAATATTTACCAGTATAGATATTCTAAGGGTATAAAGCGTTCCTTTTGTTTGTTTTTTTTTGTCCATGCTCCACCTGTGCACCATGTTTTAACTAGTACAGCTTGGTATTTTCTGCACATTCCTACCGATGGAGAAAAAAACAAAAGTTGCCTCCCATGTTGGGGCACAAAAAAAAAGTGAACTGAAACTTCTCTATCCAATCTGCAAACATCCATCCATCCATTATCTATACACCGTTTAATCCTCACTGGAGCTGGAGTCTATCCCAGCTGACTCAGAGTGAAGGCAGGTTCACCTGGACAGGTAACCAGTCTATCACAGGGCTACACTTAGAGACAATTTAGAATCAGCAATTAACCTCAACATGTTTCTGGACTGTGGGAGGAAGCCGGAGAACCCGGAGAGAACCCACGCTGCACGGGGAGAACATGGAGACTCCACGCAGAAAGATCCCGGGTGTCCTCACCGGGATGAGAACTGGCGATGCTAATCACCGTGCTACCTTGCAGCCCAAACTGTAAACAAAAACTGTTAACTGCTATTTGGTCCAGCTTCAAAATGAAAGGTAGTTTGGGCTTTAACTATTTAGGACAAAATATAACGAACCGCCTTTCAACTAAGTCAGCGCTACTGTGAAACACGTCCACATTCAGCCTGGCTTTGTAGTTTTAAGCATTTTATTTCATGCGTTGGTTGTTCTTGTTAACATAATCGTAGATGCAGCAGAGCACACACAGAGACACATTTTCATGCTCTGTGCAACTTTGGATCATTGCACTTGATGCATCTGCAGTGTTTAAGTTAGAGAAATTTTTCCATACAGTTAAATTTGATGGACAAGTTACGCTCTTTGATTTAGCTCTCAAAAAATCTGCAAGGGTGGAGAACAAAGCCTCCCCCCCAAACACATGTATGATTTATGTCAACCATACCAAAAGTATTGCAAATAAAGAGGATGTGGATGCAACGTTAAATCATAAAGGCTGCTGAGTTTACCTACGTGAACAAGAAATTGATGTTCTTTGTCATGTGGCAGCCATGCAGCTGATGCAGTAAAGCATGTGTAACAGTAATACTCATATCTTTCTCTCTCCGTTTCCTTTCACAGGACACCGAGATCCTAAACACAGCCGTGCTCACCGGGCGCACGGTCGCCGTTCCGGTGAAGGTAGTCACCGTAGGGACGGACGGAGCGGTGTCCGATGTTACCGAGTCCGTTGAGTGCAGGTCAACAGACGAGCAAGTTATCAAGGTAAGTGGAGGCACGCGCTATGAGCATCTACTTTCATTTCACCGTCTTCTCCCCCAGCGCTCGGCTGTCGTGCGGCCCCCGTGGGCGAACGACCAGAATGAACAAAAGGGTGTTGCCATGTAAAAGTGGTGCAGTGATGCAGTTTGCATTCATCCACACAGCCACTCCAGTTTCTTTTAAGAGGGTTTCGCTCCCATGATGATAGCAGAGGACTGTCGCCTGGCAGCTGTGCCATTAGAGTGACACTTAATCAGGTGGTCCTCGGTGAAGCCAACGCTGCAATATAACAGCAGCAGCAGAGGGCGAAGCCGGCAATGCATCACCGCAGACTGGAGATCCACTTTCCAGCTGCTCGTGTAACTTCAAATAACATTATCGACTTGCATATACAGTACGGTAAAGTAGTATTAATTTGTTTCTTCCCCTACAAATACTGTTGATTGAAAACTGGCCGTACGCAACAAGAGGATTCATCAGTCTGTGTCCGTGCCACTTGCCAATAGCGCAACTTTGACGAACCGTAAAGGTGACAAAGAGCTCTCCGTGATTGATTTTCTATCTCAACTAAGTTTCACATCTCCGTGAGGCGATTTTCATTGGCTTTCACAAAGCTCGGGCAATTAATCTAAAACCTTATCGAACATTTGGAAACTGTTTGATTTGTTTTAAAATAAAAACTGTAAGCAAAGGTGGTCGCCAAAGATTGAGTTTTTTAACTGCTGCCGAAGATTTACTATCCGTCGCCTCAGCTGCGAGCGACGAAAGAAATTCAAATGAAAGAAATAAGGGGGAAAAACACGCTTGTTCTTAATTGTGAGCGTGTGAGAGCGTTACTAGTGCATCTGTGTTATATTGCATATCTGATTTGGTGGTTCTTTGTACCGCACATGCATATCAGAGAGAAGAGAGGAGACAGATCTCTCAAAGGGTTTAATTATCCACTGAACTCGTACCACACATTGTGACGCTGACCTCAGTAGCGTACTCCCCTGCCCACCCGTCTGGTTTGGGAACAGTAAGTGGTACCCCTCCTCTCTCCGCTCTGTTTTCAAAGGAATCTCAAAATATAGCAGTTTTTTTTTTTTTTGCATTGGGAGGCATCTCCATCCTTCCTCGTTGTTTCGCTGGATCGTGGTGAGCTCACCTTTAAATTACTCAAGCTGGTGGAAGATATCAACGCTCTTCTCGGTCTTTCTTTCTTTTAAACCACCACTACAAAGTATATGTTGAATGGTATTAACGTTAAAGCTGCCATAACTTTAACTAGATGCCCCTCATGTTTCCAGAAC